TTTATGCTTAATTTTTCCCCCTCAACTGTAATGACATTGTTAAACTGCCAGCAAATTGTTATGCCACATGTCTTGATCATAGAAATGTTGTATCTGTTCTATTTAGAACATATTAAGAGAGTATTTGTAAAATTAGTAGTATTGCTGGAAGATTTGACAAAATACTTAGCACTTTCATTTTTTGAATATTATCTGAAATCAGTCAAAATTTGGGAAATGTTCACCATGTTTTGCTTTGTTAGGAGAGTAAACAATGAAACAATATTTACAATAGAATCTTACTTAACAAGACTATTATCTGCAGAAGAAAAAAAATTACTAGCATAATACAGGCCAAATGTAAACATTATTGAGATTATGAATACATGTACTTTTTTTCCCCCCTGTGCTTTTCCTATCTCCTGAGTTGTCAGCACTGAAAATACAACACTTTAAAATGTAGTTGAAGAAATCTGATTAATATTGGTGTCTGGATTAAAATAAAATTATCCTGATTTTAAGGAGCTAGGTTTTAAAGAATTTGGAAAACAAAAAAAAATATAAGAAAAAAAAGATTCTTTTATTCCTTTTAAATAATTCTATCATCTTGATCAAAATAAGTTTGGTTACTATTCTTTTACTTTTTCATTCCTTGAGTTAGGATTTGGTTGGTTTAGGGTTGATCTTTTGTTCCATTCGTTAAATATCTTTACGTCTCTATTAATACTTTTTATATTTTAAAATCCAGAAATGTCTATGATATTATGCTAATGTAGCTAGAATATGTTGACCCTAAGCTAGATTTACATTGACTTAATTTTAGAAAACTGCAGAAAAGGCGTTCTAAATGTAAAGGCTTTTTGACAGTAGTTGTAACTGGAAAAGTAAAATGATAGTGGCTAACGGGAGTTTTTGCTTCTGTCTTGGACTTAATTTTGGTCTTTCCCATAGAGACCAAAACCCTGTATTTCTGTTATTTGGCTAAGTCACAGGTATTGCCTGATGCAACAGCTGCAGGTTTTGAGGCGTACAGACATTCCAGAAAGTTAGACCTTTAAATAACCTTAAAGGCTTGGTTGACCCCCAGAAGAGCACTTCTCCCACAGTGCCATGCCTCCTCCTTCATTCCGTGCTTCACTGAACCCTGGGCCTTGAGGTCTATAAATACTTGTGTTTGAATTAACTGAGCCTTTCTCGGGAATGATAGGTCAGCCTCCATGCTGTGCTTTTGCTTCAGATCTTGGAGGGTAATTTGGTCCCTGTGTCCAAAGAAGTACAGAAATTGTTTGGGCAGCCACTCAGCCTTTGCAAAGATGCCTTTTTCATGGTGCTAATCTGGGGTTCTTACTGTGTTCCTTCTTAATGTAAGTGGATTCTAGATTTTATGGAGTGGAAATTGGTGGAACTAGCAATTTTCTGAAAGAACCAGGCTCTAGAAATAACTGAAATAGTTTATAGATTTTTTTTCCCCTCCTGCCTATCATTCTATAGGTCATAAATGTTCTTCATTTGCAATCAGGGTGGATACTGAGATGCTATAAATTCATTTTCTGATTTTAAGTACTGAATAAAATAGTGACTCCAAACTAAAACTCAGTTCTTGATGGGAAAATTTGGAAATAAGTAAGGGTGGTGTTAAATACCATGGTTAACATAACATCACTAAACTGTACATGTGAAGATTATTGAAGGTAGTGTTCTCTTGTATACATAATAGCCACACATGCACAAAGAACAAAACGAAATATCCATTTTTTAGCACCAGAGATGATGGAGATATAACCGTATTTGTTTTCTGTTGCCACAAACTAAATTTAAATATTAAAAACTATTTAAAACTAAAATAAACATTTATTATACCCCAGTTTCTGTGGGCCAGGACTTTGGAGCAGCTTATCTGGATGGTCCTGGCTTAGCATATTCCTTAGGTTGCATTCTCTCTCTCTCTCTCTGTGTGTCTCCCTTTCTCTGTCTCTCTCTCTCTTTCACAACATGGCAACTGACTTTCCCCAAAACAAGTGATTCAAGACAAAGTGGAAGATTGGAAGATACTGTGCCTTTTTATGGCCAAGCCTCAGAAATCACACACTGTCATTTTCACTGTTTGTTTAATGACATAAGAGTAATCTCTAGTGTTTTGAGAGAAAGCTACCTAAAAATGTGAGTGTAGGAGACAGAGCTCATCAGGTGCCATCCGACAGACCCACCACCTTCTCCTCTCCTCCTCGCTTTGGTTAGGAAAGCAAGAGGGGAGCAAAGGGGAGAGATGACATTGGAGCAATGGACAAGGATTAAAGGACGTGGATCATAAAATATGTCCCCTCAGGATTCCATGGCTGCTGCCCTTAATTCTGCCCAAGAGCATTGAGGCAGAGAATACTTAACCCATGGGGTTTCTGAGGTTTGGAGGGGATAGTCAGACCTTTCCAGACCAATGTCTGAGTGGAGAACTGATGGAGAAACAGATGCAAATATCAGAGTGGTAGAAATCAGAGTGAATTACTGAGCTGGATTGGATTATGTCCCCAGTTTTCCCCTAGATCTTGGGACAGCCCTCCTGAGCAAAAAGAGCTCCGCTACAATCCTAAAAGCATGAGGTTCGAATTCACCAGCCACTCTGCATGAGAAACATGGATAGTCTCCTGGGTGATTTACAGCCTCTGAAAACCTTCTGGAGGGGCAACTATAAGTCACTTCCCACTTGACAGCACACAAGAACTGTTTCTCAATTACTTCCTCATCCATGTCAAGTCCTAATGCAGAGGCCCTAAAAGGCAGGCCTGACCCCGACCTCGACCCCGACCGTGACTCCTCTGTGCTGACAGTTTGGATGTGGGAGCAGAGCAGAGCTCACGCTTGGCTGATAGGCAGTTCAAATGGGGCTGAACTCACCTGCTCAGGGACATTCCCAATCCCACCAATCAAATGTGTTTATGCCTCTGCTTGGAAAAGGTGGAGACAGAGACAATTCCCCACTTGGGAACTGAAAGGAAACTTTCCTTCTCTATATTGTTGTTGTTGTTATGTGCCATCGAGTCATTTGCACCTCATAGCGACCCCTATGTACAAGAGCTCTAAATGCTGTTCTATCCTGTGCCAACCTAGCCATCTCAACAAGAGCACTTACTACCACCGGTCCAGTCACAGAATCAGTCCATCTCATCAAGGGTCTTCCTCTCCTTCGCTGCTCCTCCACTCTTCCAAACATGATATCCCTCTCCAAGGACCAGTCCCTCCTTGCAACATGCCCAAAGTATGTCAGACGAAGCTTCAGAATCCTTGACTCCAAGGAGCATTCC